TCAGTGGGCCGAGCCTAGCTTGTTTGGCCTTTTCTTTTAAAGAAAATAGATAATTTATGGAGGTGGCAATAGACCATCTCTGTAATAACTCTTAAGGGCATGTACGAATCTTTTTGACTCTTCTGCATATGGTTCTTTTTGCGAAAAGACCCCTCATGAGTTGGGAGTGGGCATGTACAACGGGTCTTTTTGACTCGTCTGCATACTGTACTTTTTGCGAAAAAGGCCCTCACGAGGTGGTAGTGGGCATGTACAACCGGTCTTTTTGATTCGTCTGTATACTGTTCTTTTTGCGAAAAGACCCTTGTTGGAGTGGGCCGAGCTCGTCATCTCGTGAGACGACGAGGATGCTCGTGGTCCAAGGCTGAAGCGACGAGGACGCCGTGCGCTGTACAGCCTCGTCGCCGAGACTCGGATCCAGGTGTTGACCCGCACGAGGGAATCTTACGCGCCAAAATTCGTCCCGGAGGACACAAGCGCATCGCTGGCCGCGGACGTGGTGTGAAACGCCACCGAGCCGCGTTGCTCATGTTGCCCCGCGGCCGAGCGCTAGGCGCCGCCGGGCTGCACTTCTCGAGCTAGCGCCGGTCTGCCCAGCATCCTCCTACACCACCACGCCAGCAAGCAACAGAGCAAGGATAGGGCGATAGGCTTGTCTCGGGCGGCGCCGGCGGGTAGCAACATGAAGATGGGCTCGTCGGGAGCCTCGCCGGCGTCGCCGGCGTCGCCAAATCGCCTCCCTCGCTTTGCGCTGGATTCCACGAGATCCATGTGTTTCCGTTTAATTTTTTATCTACTACTCTGATTTGTCTTTGCATGATGCCTGGGAACCATTTCTTTTTTTTATGGGACCTGGGAACCATTTCTAGTAGATGTCGTGGTGTCCCCTTCATGATAACTGATTGCAGCAGCATCCTGCTTGTCACAGCTACTCGATGTGAAGGAGTGTGCTGCTCTCTGCTCTCTACTTCTATGGCTCATTGGTTCGTTCCAATTTTCTTTTCTGATATTACTATTTTGTAGGAGAGATTGATAACTGCTCTCTGCTTCTGTGGCTGATTGGTTCATTCAAATTTTCTTTTCTAATATTACTATTTTGTACACTTCAAGAAACCTGTTAATCTATGATGAAAATTTTCTATCACGGATCACTAAAAAACCGTCAGTATGCAGCATCTACGATGGTTTTAGATATCGTCGTGGATTAAGCGTCATGGATTAACTCCCGTGACGGTTTACTAAAAACCATCACGGATTAACAGAATCGGTGACGATATTAAACCGTCACGGTAGAGCCCAAGACATAGTTGGCCCAGCCCAAGCCCATTCCCTATTACAAAAAATAACCGTCACAGATTAAACAACCACCTCATAATTACGCTGACATGGATGTTGATGTGGACTTGAGCTAGCAATGATGTGGACGCTGACATCAGCGCTGATGTGGATACTGATGTCAGTGGTGACATGGATGCTGACATCATTCTAGACAATTTTTATAAATCTCATAATGACATAACACGCATCACATGCAATAATAAATCAAGTTTTCATCTAGTAATCAAATACAAAGTCTCAAGTTTTCACCTATCAATAGATCACATACAAGTTTTCATCCAACAAATCAAATTACAATAATTAGTTGAGACAATATGTAACATTTATGTCTAATCATCCTCCACTTCATTGTCCATCCTCCAAACTGCACTAAAATTCCATTTGATTTGTCACCCTACAACAAAACACAGCATAAATGTAAGTACATGTCACTGTTAGAAGCAAATGCTCTAGCAGCAGAGATAGACACATACTGACTTTTATTTAGCTAATAATTACTAAATCCGTTCCAAATTATAATTCGTTTGACTTTTTTGACCCCAAGTTTGACCACTTGTCTTATTCAAAAATTTGTCAAACTTGAGATAAAAAAATCAAACGTATTATAATTTGGGACAGAGGAAGTACTAAATAGTGTATTCACTATTGCATGAAAGTGACACTTTACAAAATTCAGACATGCTGCTGCACCGACTTGCAAATGGATGACCTGCAGATTGTGATCTGAACTAAAATTCAGATTATTTACTAAACTAAAACTCTAAATGACTGTTCAGGTATGGCTTATAATTAATTTAAAGCAAGAGCTAGCAGCAAAGTTGCATATGCACAGCACAATCAAACAGCAGCATTACCATTTGTTCTGTGTACTGTACTGAGCAGGCAAGTAAACAGCTGAGCTAAAGTTAAAGGTTTTAAACTAAACTGATAGCTAAGCTGATTGTTGAGATGATCTACAGGTGTACTGACATGCTGCAGATCACAAAGAAAAACTGATAACTAAGCTGACTGGAACTATAATGCTGTTTTTATTTTTGTATATGACTGAACATACATATATACTGCTCTTAAATTTAGAGTTAATTATCACAGAATTGAGTCTCATTAAAATGCATGGCTGGCAGTTCTGCATCAAAGAAAATACTACTACTGATCAGTGACAGGCAGTGAATCAGCTCCAGATTAAATAGGCTAACAGAATTACTATTGCGCTCCAGATTAAATAGGCCAACAGAATTACTATTGCAGAAGCAATTATCAGGAAAAAAAATAGTAAGAAAGTTTCGGTACTGATCCTTCATACGTACTTGGATACTTTCACGGAAAAGCAGCTACTGCAATACTGTAACCGGCAAAACTGTGCTTTCTTTGCGTACTCCCTCCGTCCCATTGGAAGTGTCGTTTTTTACTTTTAGACTTCTTGTTTGACCATTCGTCTTATTCAAAAATTTTGTATAAATATTATTTATTTTGTTATAACTTATTTTAGCATTAGAGATACTTTAATAATAATTTATTTATTATATTATTTGTATAAAAAAATTGAATAAGACGAACGGTCAAATAAGAAGTCAAAAACGATATTTTCAATGGGACGGAGGGAGTATGTGCTTTGTACTGCACAAAAGGTGAGTATATAAAGCTTTAGTTTCAGCATATTGGACAGAAGCTGAGAGAGGGTAAGTGTTTAAACATTTAGTTAGCCGCAAGTTCACATTTCTTTAGATAAGACAATTTGTAGAATGAGTCATACCATAATTTAGTCAGATTTCACGAGTTGCTGAGAGAACAAATGTACTAGTTCAACATAAGAAATGCATGACAGGAAAAAATTACAGACAGGAAAAAATCCAATAATATAATCCTTCAGCAAGAAATTGCAAGAATTCCATACTATTGTTACCAGGTTTCGCATATGAGTACACACCCATGGAAACAAATTTTTCTACAATAAAAAGAATTGAAGGTGTTGATATAGTTTCACATTTAAAACTGAAAGAATTGAAAGGCACAAAGAACTGAAGCTGACCTCAGGGGTTCCAAGAACCCAATCACGAATGTGGTCACAAGCAGAGCTAGCAGCTGAGAGAGCACTACAAAGCTTTCTCGCTTTGATGAACTGAACCTTTGGAAAGGGAGCACTCGGCCATGGCAGCTGAGGGGGCTACTGGCGGGGGAGCTAGGCCAGGATTCCGGCCGCCAGCCGGGCAGCATCGTGCATCGGCTCATCGTGGGGCCAAGCGGAGCCCGCAGCGGCATGTTTGCCTCGGTTTTTCCCTTCTCCGTTAGACCCCACTCATGTGGGAGCCTCCGCAGTTTGGATCTGCCTTTTTATATAGCTAAGTAGTTATACATCAATTGAACTCCGCAAGCCACGTAGCTATTAAACTCGCTCTCTAAATCCTAGTTTGGAGAGCCTCGGAATAAAATTTGTCTCTATATTTTTGCACAATGCAACAAGTTCTCTATATCGTTTGCACACTTTAGAGAGCTAGCATTGCTCTCCTTATTTAGCTAGCGAGAAACTTAGAACTGAGGATGGCAATGTTTAGATATCTAATTGAAGAAGCTGTTGGAGGGTTTTTTTCATTAAAATCTCTATTTCTATCGGTACAAAAGGATATAAAGAGACTCTTGGAGTTAATTTTAATTCTCGACACCTAAAAATTAGTACTTTAATTTGAGAGGATATGTGACAAAGTTTTATTTTTATAAGAAACTATTTTTCCAAACTGTTGGAGGGCGCTTTTTCCCTCTTCCTAAAAAATAAAAAAAAACTCCTTAATATGCTCTAATGTTGGAATACTATTTCTAGTGATAATAAACTCTAATGAAGCCACTGACTTTAGAATAGGACATGTGAGTAAAAACATGTAGAAGAGTGCAACCTTAGTTGCATAAAAATCAAATGTGCGCATGTCGCCTTGCTATTTATGTATCCATGAAAATTGAGGTTTTGGACATTTTCTTCTGTATACTCTCTCAATCTCCAAATAAATCAATTCCTAGAATCTGTGCCAGTCAAAGACTAACTTTATAGAAAATAGTAACAACATATATGACATAAAATGAGCACCTTATGAAAATATAATGATACTAATTTGATACCATAAATCTTATTAATTTTTTATAGAAATTCGGTCAAAGTTTAAAAAGTTTGACTCAAGACAACTCTAGAAATCTATTCAGGGAAAGAGAGAGCACTATACAAATTTTTGAAATTGGGACAGGCCCAGTTTTAATATTCATATATATCACCTAATTTTCAAAACAAAAAAAAGTGCCTTTTGTTTGTCTGTTCCAAGCTACTCCTGTTTCTCAGGCCCACTTCCCTCTCGCGGACCGCTTCCAAGATCCGGTTCTCTCTCCTTCTCGTTACTCTGTCTCTCCCCTTCTCTCAGCCTCCACATCTCCTATCAGATTTCAGATGCAAGGACAGCGTTTAGATTTATCACTTCGTTGATTAATTGAACGAATCCAAGCTTTAACATCGCAATCAAGGTTCGCATTACTTTCAACTCCGGTTAATCTATCGTACATTTGTACATTGATCAGAATTTGTAGGTAAAAGTTGATTTTTTAATCCGAGTTCCAATTATTCTTCTTGATGATAGCGGATCGGTTGGTCGCATCGCATCGACAGGGCGGGGGCGAGGTCGGCAATGGCGAACAAGGCCAGCTCGGGGGCGCGGAGCCCGCTGAGCCTGGTGGTGGCCATGGCGCTGTGCTGCTTCTTCTACGTGCTCGGCGCGTGGCAGCGCAGCGGCTACGGCAAGGGCGACCGCATCGCCGCCGCGGTGAGCCGGCAGACGGCCTGCAGCGACGGGTCCGCCGCCGCCGAGGGGCTCAGCTTCGAGACGCACCACGGCGGCGCCGCGGGCATCAACGCGTCGACGTCGCTGCCCTTCGGGGCCGACGCGGCGCCGCCGACGTTCGCGCCGTGCGCGGCGGCGCTGGCGGACCACACGCCTTGCCACGACCAGGACCGCGCCATGAAGTTCCCGCGAAAGAACATGGTGTACCGGGAGCGGCACTGCCCCGCCGACGGCGAGCGGCTGCGGTGCCTGGTGCCGGCCCCGCCCGGGTACGTGACGCCGTTCCCGTGGCCCCAGAGCCGCGACTACGTGCCCTTCGCCAACGCGCCGTACAAGAGCCTCACCGTCGAGAAGGCCGTCCAGAACTGGGTCCAGTACGAGGGCTCCGTGTTCCGCTTCCCCGGCGGCGGCACGCAGTTCCCGCAGGGCGCCGACAAGTACATCGACCAGCTCGGATCCGTCGTCCCCTTCGCCGGCGGCCACGTCCGCACCGTCCTCGACACCGGATGCGGCGTAAGCACCTGTCATGGCCATGACCTTATCGACGCCCACGTGTTGTTCCCCTGATCGGTCACCTCGACGTCTGTTCATCCGTGCATGCAGGTGGCGAGCCTGGGCGCGTACCTGGACGCCCGCGGCGTGATCGCCATGTCCTTCGCGCCGCGCGACTCGCACGAGGCGCAGGTTCAGTTCGCCCTGGAGCGCGGCGTGCCGGCCTTCATCGGCGTTCTGGGCTCCGTCAAGCTCCCGTTCCCGCCGCGCTCCTTCGACATGGCGCACTGCTCCCGGTGCCTCATCCCCTGGGGCGGCAACGGTGAGTGACGTCGCCTCCTCCTCGCACGGCCGGGATGGCCATGGCCCTCGGATGCACAAGAACTCTGACGCGTTGCGTTCGTGCAGACGGGATGTACATGATGGAGATCGACCGCGTGCTCCGGCCGGGCGGCTACTGGGTGCTCTCCGGCCCGCCGATCAACTGGAAGACGAACCACAAGGCCTGGGAGCGCACGGAGGCGGACCTCTCCGCCGAGCAGCAGCGGATCGAGGAGTACGCCGCCATGCTCTGCTGGGAGAAGGTCACCGAGATCCGCGAGATCGGCATCTGGCGGAAGCAGCTCGACCCCTCGGCGGCTTGCCCCGCCAGGCCGCCGGTCCGTACATGCGACGACGCCAACCCCGACGACGTCTGGTAAAATTTCCACTTTTACCAGAAATCAAACGGAGATGGCTTCTGAGTTCTGACAGTTAGATTTGACTTCTCGATTCGATTCTTGTTCAGGTACAAGAACATGGAGACCTGCATCACGCCACCAGCCACTGCGGGCGCCGGCGAGCTGCAGCCGTTCCCGGCGCGGCTAACTGCCGTGCCACCGCGGATATCAGCTGGTGCCGTGCCGGGCTTCATGGCGGAGTCGTACGAGGAGGAGAACCGGCGGTGGGAGCGGCACGTGGCGGCGTACAAGAAGGTGAACTACAAGCTGAACAGCGAGCGGTACCGGAACATCATGGACATGAACGCCGGCGTGGGTGGGTTCGCGGCGGCGATCTTCTCGCCCAAGTCGTGGGTCATGAACGTCGTGCCGACGGCGGCCGAGCTCTCCACCCTCGGCGTGGTGTACGAGAGAGGGCTCATCGGCATGTACCACGACTGGTAGGTTCAGATCACAGTGCAGCAAGAATGTATGATGCAAAAGTTATTTTTTCAATTAAATTCTTGCTCTACTTCCTCTTCAGGTGTGAGGCATTCTCAACTTACCCAAGAACATACGACCTCATACATGCCAATGGCATCTTCACTCTCTACAAGGACAGGTGAATCAAAACCTGTTCATCTTTCTTTGTAACAATAAGAAAATGTTGTGAAAATAAAATTTTGTTCATCATTTCACCTATATTGCTTAGATGTAATACCATTCCGAATGGTGAAAATTCTGGTGTGTGTGACTGATAATATGGTCTCTGAAACTTGGCACAGCTGCAAAATGGAGGACATCCTGCTGGAAATGGACCGGATTCTGCGCCCAGAGGGTACCGTGATCATCCGAGACGATGTCGAGATCCTGCTGAAGGTGCAGAGGACAGTGAAGGGGATGCGGTGGAAGACGCTGCTGGCGAACCATGAGGACAGCCCAAATATACCTGAGAAGGTGCTCTTTGCTGTCAAGCGGTACTGGACCGCCGGTGGCGAGGGCTCAGAGGAGGAGGAGAAGACAGACAGCTCTTCAGTAGCTGGCAAGGATTCAGAGGAATAAATGGTGGGTAAGACGAGGGTGCACAATTTGGCGGTGGAGGTGGACGGGTCACTACTTTCAGTTTCTGTCGACTTTTCAGAATGTTTGGTAGAAGAATTGAAAATTTTTGTTTAGAGCGTTGAAGATGTAGAGTTTCAGATGCTTTGGATTTTGCAATTTTGCAGTAATGTTGTATCAATGCGATTGGATCAGATGTGGCTATTGTAGTCTATTTCTTTTTTATCAATCCAATGAGATTTTCATGTTGATTTCATAGATGTGATTGATGGAATTCTGATAGGTTTTAGGGTGCTGCGCGCCTTGAGACCTGCAGGATTACATCTTTCACGTCACATGGTAGTATCCGGTTCTCTTCTTAACTTGTTTCATTGACGTCACATAGTAGGAAAAGTTTGAATGCCTAATATAGTTGATAGCAACCTTATGCTATCAACTATATTGTTGATGCCGCACAGTTTATTAACTTCGGTGTGAAATCCAGTTCCTCCCATTCAGATGTACTATCTATGGAACCATAGATATTTTAGAAAATACAAAAAGGAAAGTAGAAAATTCAAAGGAAGTTCAAGTTCAAGTCATCTGTTTGAACACACTTCACATGTAAACTCTTCCTACTATTGTAACTTATTTTTCTCACACTGAGGATTTTTCCCTGTCCATGTTAGATCTAAGCATCATATTCTTTTTAAAGGTCATATCTTTTCCATGTTTTGTTGCTTACAATATAGCTTTTTTTCTTCAGATAATGAAGGATTGAAGGCACCATCATCAAAAGTGTAACCAATGGACAATCAATTTTTTCAATAGGAGATTATGTGATAACTCATTTTGCACCAAGGAGTACATCATAATAGTGGACCGACATGATGGCACAATATAATGTAAAGACAGATAGCTTGAGATGACAATAGTTTCTTGCAAATTAATAGATAACTAAGGTAGCTGTTGGCATGAGGTGATTCATGATAAATCTCTACATCTCTTTGTAGTGCAGCTGCTGCAGTCCTACATCAGCAGGATGATACACATCATCATCTTTATGAAATTTGAGTACAGCTCCGACGATCGGATACTGCGTAGTTCTCTTCTTCCTGGGCTTAGCTTTCCCCAGAATCTGCAAATATGGCAGATCAAGTGGCATAACTTGTTACATGACATATCATTAATGACAATAATACTATGTGGAAGTAGGGTCAAAAGTTTGAATGCCTAATATGATGAAGAGAATAGACCATTGAATGCTGACCATCTTAAATTTTGCTGTGACGCCTTGCTGGCCAGTGTGGTCCTATTTTGTGACATGTACTCCCTCGGTTCTTGAGAAGCCAAAGTTTCCATCTTGTCCGCCTGTCAATGAACAATCATAGCAATCAAGTAAACTGCCTCTAGATTTTCTCTAACCCATGATGGAAAGAATACAGATGAGGTTCGTTATCTCATCTGTTTCGACTTAGCACGTCAACGCTACTTGCAAAAATGGAATGCAAATTATGTAAATGTAATGCATCAAGGACCGTTTCAGCGATGCCACTTACCGTTGAGTTGGTTTCCTCTGCTTCTTTCCTTGTTGCATTTAGGTCTTCATTGGCAGCATCTTTCTTCTCAAGCAGTGATGAGACCTTCTTGGACGTAACCATCCTGTGCCACATCCATGTACTAAGTGACCAAAAACTAGTATTGTTTTGAATGTAGGGCTTGTTGCTTTGCAAAAACTGTAGGATTGGTTTGGCCTATTTATAGGCCAAATGGCTCTTGAAAGCATTACCTTGCTTGAAGTATATATTTTGCATGAAAAAAAAACCATGGTACCTTTCATTACTTGTGGCTGCCCCTAATAACGTCATCAGTTTCTTCAGTTCCTATTTTGTCTTCCGGAGCCTTGTTGCTTCTTAAGCACACTGAAATAACTGACACTGAGCTGGTTTCCAGTTTGCTTTCTTGTCTGTTGGTTAATCTTGTTTTTGTGAATAAGAGTTGCTTTATATGATGTGGGTGTCTCTAATAACATCATTCTCTACTTCTAATCAGCCAAGAGTTTCAACATATAGTTTTTATTAGAAAATTGCCTGTACCATTGTTTGTGGAGAAGTGTATATATGACTTGTTTCCGGCCAACTTTTGTTCTTTTTTTTGGGAAAAGGGGGGGGGGGGGGGGACAAGGCTACCTATTTTAGTTATTATTATCTTGTGTTGTCAGATAAAAGGAAAAACATGTCTGCTAGAAAAAAATGCTTTGTTTGAGGGTTTCGAAGAGCAAAATTGAAGTCTCTTTCTTGAAACAGAAACATGATGTTTCTTGTTAGAGTGCAACTTTCTGTTTTACTCAATTTGTGCGGCTTACATGACATGAGCTTCTCATTTACATGCAGGCTAGTCTATACAAATGTTCACTGCCTGTGTCTGGTGCCATTTCTTTCATGAACTACAAGTTTCAAGCATCAAATGATCTGTTTAGATAACCATAACATGAGTATGCTCTTGGCTCCATCTTGATGACAAGAAACATAAACTGTTAACGAAATGTGTAGTTTATCAATGGGTGTAAATATTGAAACCTTGAATATGTGACCTTGGTCTAATCCTTCAGAAGAGCATCCTCACGTCCTCTCTATGACAGTTTAGCACAGCCTCACTAGCTTGCAATCCATACATTAGCAAGATTAATTATGATAATATACGCTGAGCCTTGTGCACCATGCACTGCTGGTGTCGTGGACAGCAATGCTTGCTTGCCAGCATGTGTGGTGCTCAGGTTTGGGCAGCGTGCATGTTTAACTTTTTTAATCCTATGAGTGCTACTAAAATTCATAGTTGAGATAGCATTATTCCTGAAAATTTAACAACTTAAATAACTTGGGTAGAATTCATTGAAAACAAGCTTTATCACATCTCGGCTACACATAGTTAAGCCTCCTTTGACACGGCTCATCCAAAACGGCTTCACCGGTGAAGCCAAAGCTGGTGAAGCCAGAAAAACTGGTTTTTTCCGGCTTCTAGTTCATTTTAACTCCGGTTTACAAAACGGCTTCACGCTACAGTGCCTCGATTTGCGCAAAATAGATGAAGCCGAAGCCGGCATAAGCCGTGGCAAAGAGGCCCTTAATTGGCTAGACCTGACGGTAAATTAATTAGCACCGAACAATGGCAATAGCTATGTGCATGGCCGGTCTGCGAAAAATCATCAAGTCGAGGTTCATAATTTGAGGTGATGGTTATAAATTCGTGGGGTAGGTTTCGACGCAGACCTTACCACGCTTGATCTTTGCTAAAGATCATGGCTACGTTTCAAAAACAAGAGAAAAAATTTAAAGGGCTGGAACGTAAATAAATTGCAATAAAGATAAAGCATATTTCTTTCCACCTCAAGAAAACCAAAACTTTATCTTCTTATATGTAAAACAAACAAAGGCGAGACATGCAAAAACAAGGCATTGCAAAGCAGGAGTGGGAGGATTTCGAGGATTTCACCAGTAACCTGAGGCATCGCTGCAACGTGGCTCTGCTGGAGTCCTTGAGCCTGCGTGTTACTCACAGCAGGGCACCTGGTTTTCGTCCCCATAAACAAGCAGGTGGATGGCTCCGACGTGCCATGAAGTACTGCACCCCCGACCTTCCCCGTCAGCACGCTGACCGACTGAGCTCCAGTTCATGGCGCCTCAAGAGGCTGCATCTCTGCAATGTGGCTCTGGATGCTCGTTTCGGGAACCATGTCTGTTCGGCGTGCAGATCATTGGAGGATTCGGAGCTGGAGGACTGCACGTGTGCGTTTCAAGCAATCACCTCTGGCTCACTGAAGAGCTTGGTTCTGAAGAACTGCTGGTGGAACTATCTCACTGAGATCACATCACCCACACTGAAGCGCTTAGTTGTCGCTGGTGGCTCGAATAATGCTCCCTGTGTTGTCGTGGCCCCCGCGATTGCTCATCTGTGCCTCTTTACTTTGCTAGAAGTATTTCAGTGGATCGGATGCCATCACTGCCAAGGCTTTGACTTATCTATCGATGAGGTCATAGAGACAGTGTATTGGCAAGTAAACTTTATTGTCATAAATCCTTAGTCTAGGCCTTGTATGTGTCTTGCCATTTCCTTGTTTATCTGAAATTTGAGTACATGTTCTACCATACTTTCAGATGTACTTAGAATGCAAAGCATATTAGCATATACCATCGACTCGTTTCTAGATGAAGGTTTTGCTCTGTATGCTATAGTCCCAATGCTTTTGTTTTCTTATCTTGTGACTACTCAAGAAAATATCTTCCGAGTCCTGTGAACATATATCTTACTAGAAAGTTTGATGTGGACCTGAAATTTTCATATTTGCCTCTGTTCTTATTTTTACAGTAACATGAGTTACGTTCTTCCAAGAGTGAAATGTCAACGTCATCACTACAGGTGCTCAACATTTTCTAAGTGAATTGCTTGAACACACTTTGGATCATATGTCAACATTTCACTCGTACAAAAAGGGTTTTTACTGACGATAGCTTTTTTTTTATCTTTACTAGCAGTTGTTTCAATCTTTGGTGTGAAAGGCAAGTGAGAATTTTCAGTTTTTTACTAACGTCGGCTGAAGAACTGCCACTACAAACGCATCTTCATTGGTGGTAGCCTTGTACCAACCGCCAGTGTAAATGTATTTATACTGGCCAGTCGGTTACATCAACGGCCAGTGCAAATTGTTTTACGGCAACATGTGCAAATTGTTTTACGTCGAGTAATATATCAGTTATTTCTTTTAACAACTAAGTAGTCTAAAAATCACTTTGCAGAAACCTGAATGCACACTTGTATTTTTTTCTTCTTCTTGTTGTGGATCGACGCTGAAGTTTCAAAAAAAAATTGAGCGCTCTATGGCTCATGTGCGATGGTTTTTCCCCTGACTAAATAAGACGAACTGAATAAAACGCCCTGCTGGCTCAGTGGCTCACCAGTCACCACACCATCTTTTTGTCTCAGCACTCAGCAAGTCAGCAATGCCGAAGTTGTGTCACTGAAAGTGTCACCGCAGCAGACCAGCAGTTGAGAGCTTCAGATGGAGCCTCTGCATTTTTTGTCCATTGTTCCTTGAGAAAAATGAATGAAGCGCCTGCCTGGCTGCCTCATACGGCCGCCAGCCGGCCACGAGCAGAGCTGACCGGCCGGCAACCGAGAAATGCATGCAGCAGGCGAGCAACCGCGAGAGCGACAGCCATGAACTCCCCGGCGAAAGCTCTTCGAACTGATGCATGGTCCCTCGCTGGGCCATTTCACGGGCTTCCAATGGGCCCGTACCTCTATGTATGTATTCCGTACCTTTGCAGACGTATACGTACTTACCACTGGCACTGGTTCAGTGTGCCATGCGCTTTGGAGGATTTTGAGTTTGAGCTCACAGGTTGCACAAGTGAAATCCTTTCAATCACCTCCCCACTTGCTGACGAAATTGGTTCAAAAGAATTGTGGTTGGCAGGGACTTCGTGAGATTACATCATCCACACTGGAGACCGTACCTTGGTTATTGATTGCAGTTCCAATGAATGTGCTGTTTGGTTCCTTCAATGGTAAAGCAAATGGAAACAAAATTGCATGTCTTGCCATAATCAGTCTGTTCGGTTGGCTGGTTCGTATCGTTGCTGGTTCGTTTATGTGAGAGAGAAGTACTGCTGGCTGATTTGTGTAAATAGTAGCCATGTGAGGGGGCTGGCGAGTCAGCCCAGCCAGCCCCAGCCCAGCGATCAGGCTGAATATCCACAGCTCTAATGTTGTTTCCATTTTGTGTGTACTGTTGATGAACCAAACAGCACAGTAGTTCACTGCTGGTTACTATGGCCCTTGCTCCTACTTATCTATCGGTAATGCTGGGTATAGGGCGTCCGTCCACCCGGACGGTGTCGATGGTGCGCCGCGACGCAACTCAACGACTGCTCATCCACTCAACCTCACCCCCAACCGTTCTAAAAAAAGAAAAAAAAACTTCTTATCCCTTCCGCCCCCTCCTCTCCACCACAGCACCTTGCGGTGGCCACTCTGCCTCGCATCCGAGCGCTTCTCGCCCTCTCCCGTCTCGCGTGTTGGTGCTGGTAGTGCTCGCTCCGATCGTGGCGCGCGCCGCCCGCTCGGCCGAGCCAAGCCTGCTGTTGGTGCCGGTGGTGCTCACGCGCCACCGCTTGCTGTCGGCTCCGATCCCGTCAGCTGGAATCGATAGGCCTCGGCCTTTCCCTCCCCGATGTTGCATATGCATGTTTCAATTGTTTCAGACGTTTCAGATGTATGTTGCAATTATTCCATTTTGATGTTGCAAAAGTAGATCGGGGGATGTTTGCATATGTTGCAAGTGTTTCAAATGCATGTTGCAAGAGTTTGTTCAAAATGTTTCATCTGTTTCCAGACGTATGTTGCAATCGTTTTGATCTGGATGTTGCGTATGTTTCACACATGTTGCAAGTGTATATTTCAAGTGTTTCATCTGTTTTTCAGACGTATGTTGCATTAAAAAAATTTATGTTGCAAGTGTTTTATGTTGTTCGTCCGGGCACGAGCCGAGGGGTAGGCAAACGGTGCACGCGGCGTGCCAGGGGGGCTGTAGACAGGGGCTCTGGGGGTTGGTGAATGGGTGCTCTGGTCGGGGGCACGCCGGGTCCCGGCTCTCGAGTGCCGCCCGCGCGGAGAGAGAGGAATAGGTCTAGGGAATGACCGGCGGACGCAGATACAAGGACAGAGTGCGCACATGGGGCAGGGCGACGCCGGACTGGGGCAGGGCTGCGCGGACGTCCAGACGTGCGCGTCCGTCCGGATAGCTGGGCGTTAGCCATGCCCCTTATCTATTCCTGCAATTGTTTCTTACCTTACCTATTCCTATGGCACTTGACTAGAGGTTAGATGATTTCTGCAGGATGAACAAGGTAATAAAAGAAGGATGAACAAGGATGAAAACTTTGTGTTGACTAAAGATGAACTGATACCGACTAGCTTGACTCACCCTGTTTTGCTTTTGTAATACAATGATTGGTAATCAAATATTATGCAATTCGAGTGTGTGTGTGTGTTCTTAAACAATTCCGGTTGTTTGCCTGGAAAGATTACTTTAGAGACCTCCAAAAAAGAAAAAGAAAAAAGATATGGTTAGAGATTATGTTATCTGTTACGCTAAAGAAAAAATGAAGACTTTTTTTTGAGGAGAAAAAGGAAGACATATCTCCTCCGTGGCGAAAGTTATAAGTAATATACAAAAACTCGATCGCGGCAACTGGGCCGGCCCAGAACTGCATACCTGTCTTGCCGTCGAGGTCTTAGTAGGGCTTAGGCGCCGGCGCTGCCCTTCTCATTTCCGCATCTCCTTCGGTTGGTCCCGCTCCTCCCCCACGGCAGGCTCAGGCTGCGGAGCTTGGTAAGCCCAGTTCCCGTGCCCATGAGGCCATGCCATGACTGGTTTGCTTTCGGCCCTCGTGAACTCTCTTCTTGATTCCATTCAATATTCCGATGACATCATGGTTCTAATGCAGCAATGCTTCGCCATCTCTTGAAATCTTGCGCCGTCTCCGATCTAGCAGCTCGGCTCATCTAGTAATCGAATAGGTTTTTCTGGTGTTCTTACCTAGATGGATTTGTTCATTTCTTTATTTTTCTGAGCAGGACGCACCATGGAGATCGACGACGCAGCAAGAAAGCGTGCCCGCGCAAGAGGCGGCGGCGGGCGCTCAGCTGGCGACGCGGACCGGCTGAGCGCTCTGCCGGACAGCCTCCTTCACGCCATCATGTCGTTCCTCAAGGCGCGGCAGGCGGTGCAGATGTTCGTGCTGGCCACGCGCTGGCGGCACCTCTGGTGCTCCATGCCGTGCCTCGACGTCGACCACGACGAGTTCTGCAGGAGCAGGACTGCGGCGGCTTCTTCCAAAGACCGTGCCAAAGCAGGAGTGGGAGGATTTCGAGGATTCCACCAGTAACCTGATGCATCGCTGCAGCTGCGTGTTACTCTGCAGTAGGATGGCTCCGACGCGCCATGAAGTACTGCACCCAAGAGTACCCTCCCGGTCAGCGCGCTGACGCAGGACCCAGCTCCAGTTCTTGGCGCCTCAAGAGGCTCCATCTCTGCAATGTGGCTCTGGATGCTCGTTTCGGGAACCATGTCCGTTCCGCGTGCATATCATTGGAGGATTTGGAGCGGAGGAGGACTGCACGTGTGCGTTTCAAGCAATCACCTCCGGCTCACTGAAGAGCTTGGTTCTGAAGAACTGCTGGTGGCACTCTCTCACTGAGATCACATCGCCCTCACTGAAGCGCTTAGTTGTTGCTGGTGGCTCGAATAATGCTCCCTGCGTTGTCGTGGCCCCCGCGATTGCTCATCTGTGCCTCTTTACTTTGCTAGAAGTATTTCAGTGAATCGGATGCCATCACTGCCAAGGCTTTGATTTATCTAACGATGTGGTCACAGAGACAGTGTATTCGCAAGCAAGCTTTGCTGGCAAATAAATCCTTAGTGTAGGCCTTGTATGTGTCTTGCTAGTTGCCATCTCCTGGTTTTTTCTGAAATTTGAGTACATGTTCTACGGTACGTTCAGATGTAGTACTTAGAATGCAAGCATATACCTTTGACTGGTTTCTAGATGATATAGGTTTTGCTCTGTAGGCTATAGTCCCGATGCTCTGTTTTCTTATCTTGTGACTACTCAAGAAAATATCTTCTGAGTCCTGTGAACATATATCTTACTAGAAAGTTTGATGTGGACCTGAAATTTGCATATTTGTCTCTGTTCTTATTTTTACAGTAACATGAGTTACGTTCTTCCAAGAGTGAAATGTTGACGTCATCACTACAGGTGCTCAACATTTTCTAAGTGAATTGCTTGAACACACTTTGGATCATATGTCAACATTTCACTCGTACAAAAAGGGTTTTTACTGACGATAGCTTTTTTTTTATCTTTACTAGCAGTTGTTTGAATCTTTGGTGTGAAAGGCAAGTGAGAATTTTCAGTTTTTTACTAACGTCGGCTGAAGAACTGCCACTACAAACGCATCTTCATTGGTGGTAGCCTTGTACCAACCGCCAGAGTAAATGTATTTATACTGGCCAGTCGG